TTAGTAATAATAATAATAATAATAATAATAATAATAATAATAATAATAATAATAATAATAATAATAATAATAATAATAATAATAATAATTTTTTCCTCAGCTTTCCTAAGCTTTTTTCCCAAGCTATTTTGAATGCAAAAACTCTGTTTCTACTGATTTGAAATAGATAAATATACAATAATAATATACAATAAATATACAAATCCAATATTACTAAATAATAATCTTAAACTGCGTGACTCATATGGCACATTATGATTATGCGTGTTACAACAGTATTGAGGAACGTATATTTATGTATTTTAGATGTCTTTTGCGGGAAAAGTTGTTTTGATAACAGGAGCCAGCTCAGGAATTGGAGCTGCAACGGCTATTCATCTGGCTCAGCTTGGTGCATCACTGTCAATAACTGGGCGTAATAAACATAACTTAGATAAAGTAGCTGAACAATGTGAACAATCTCAGCCCTTTATTATAACGGGAGAATTGACTAATGAAAAAGATGTAAAAAATATCATCGATTCGACAATCAAGCATTATGGCAAATTAGATGTTTTAGTTAATAATGCTGGAATTTTGGAGACGGGTAGTATAGAAAACACAAGCTTGGAACAATATGATAAGTACGTAAATGCAATGTAATAGACATAAATGTTAATAAAGAGCTATTTAGGGTATATAGTATTTGTTACACTATAAAATAAAGTAAAATACAAACTTAATTTGAAGAGCTCATATTAAAAACAATTTTTGGATTTGATAAAATAAATGACTTAATTCTTTCATTTAACATGATTTTTTAATCAAGAATTATACATAATTTTTATCTTTGATATCTACTCTAAAAGACTCATACTTTCCAAGTTATATTTACTAAACATTTTTAAAGTGTATAATCTTTAACACTTAATATATATATATATATATATATGTATATGTATATGAATAACAAAACAATTCTATTTGAGAAAATATGTTAAAATTGTAAAAACATATGTATTTTCAGTGTTTTCAACATTAACGTTCGCTCAGTATACCAATTGACAATATTGGCAGTGCCACACTTAATTAAAACAAAGGGGAATATTGTCAACGTTTCTAGTGTATGTGGATTACGATCTTTTCCTGGTTGTCTGGCGTATTGCATGAGTAAATCAGCTATAGATCAATTTACACATTGCGTTGCTTTAGAATTGGCGTCAAAACAGGTATGTGTAGAAATATCGAACCTAGTTTCTATTTTCAATGATATTAATATTGACTTTATAATAACTTTTAAATATTATTATATTTATATTTTGTATTATTTTTAAAATGCCCTAGGTGCGTGTGAACGCAGTAAATCCTGGCGTTATTATAACTAATCTTCATGAAAATAGTGGAATGAGTCAAGAACAACTTAAAAACTTCTTCGAGCATAGCAAAGAGACACATGCACTAGGACGAACTGGTAATGTTTCAGAAGTTGCAAAAACCATTGCATTTCTAGCGAGCGACGACGCCAGTTACATTACGGGTGCGACATTGCCTGTAGATGGAGGTAGACACACCATGTGTCCTCGCTAAACAAATCTGATATCTTTTGAAATAATATATATGATATATTTTTTATATACATACAAACTATATCATACAAATTATACATAGCATTTACATTAATGTATTAACGAAAATTAAGCTATGTTATAATATTAAGTTTATTAAGTTTCAAGAAAATACATTAAAAAATATTTCAGATTGTGCGTGCGCGCGCGTGTGTGTGTGTGTTGCTATGCTATCTCTGTAAACAAAATTCTTGTAGCAAAAAATGGAATAATATTTTTATATTTTATAACACAATCAAAATATAAGTAGTTTGAAAATTTTATTGAAGTTTACCACGTTTTTTATGTTATTTGAAATTTATATTTCTGTAAAAGATTCGATTATTCCAAAGAGTTTAAAAAATGTTTTTATTTTAAAAATTTTAATAAACATTTTTTGTAAATAAATTGGTTTCTTCCTTAAACACTTATTTTTATGTACAATAATTATTTTTAGTATTTTAATGACAATTTTTATTATTAAAATAATTTTATATACAAATTAAAAGCTAATAGAATTTGAAATTTACACATAAGATTCGATTCAGAAATACTGTAAGATAAGCTTGATAACACTGATGCCGAGTCACTTATCGTTACCTATTTATTGTTGCGTTGCGAATTAAAACCGACAGTCATAGATTAGAACTATGATATTGCAAATTTTATCATTTGATGCAATATCACAGTAAGTACATATTTATATATTTTAACTAAAATATGATTTGTTTTATATTGGTCATCAATGATCTCTTTTTTCCTTCCTAAGTTGTTTTAAATACAAAAAGTTTGTTTTTATTGATTTGCAAATATAAATCTAATATAATATTACTGCTAAATAATAATTTAAACTACATAATCCGTATCGCACATGATCATGCAACAGTATTGTGAAACGTTATATATTTTAGATGTCTTTTGCGGGAAAAGTTGTTTTAATAACAGGAGCCAGCTCAGGAATTGGAGCTGCAACGGCTATTCATATGGCTCAGCTTGGTGCATCATTATCAATAACTGGACGTAACAAACATAACTTAGATAAAGTAGCTGAACATTGTCGACAGTCTCAGCCGCTTATTATAACGGGAGAATTAACTAATGAAAAGGATGTAAAAAATATCATCGATTTGACAATCAAGCACTATGGTAAATTAGATGTTTTAGTTAATAATGCTGCAATTTTGGAGATGGGTAGTATAGAAAACACAAGCTGGAGCAATATGATAAGTATGTAAAAGTAATATGATATACAGGAAAAAGAAAAAAAAAAGAGTTAAAAAAGAGTTACTCATTTTTAATAAGTTAACTAGTTTCTTATACTATAAAGTAAAAAAAATGTAAATATAATTTGTAAAGCTCAATATTAGAAGAAACTTTTGATTTTAGTAATATAAGTAACTTGGTTCTTTCATTTATTTAATATGATTTAAGAATCAAGTATTCTTAAGTATCATAATCTTTCTTTTTGATATCTACAAAAGGTTTTACAACAGTTACATGAGTTATATTTATTAAATATTTTTAAAGTATATATTTTTTTATTTAACAATTAGTATATATATTTGAATAAAAACTTTATTCTATAAGAAAGAAAACGTGATTAAAATATTAATTGTCAAAACATATATTTTCAGTATTTTCAACGTTAACGTTCGTTCGGTATACCAATTGACAATATTGGCAGTGCCACACTTAATTAAAACAAAGGGGAATATTGTCAACGTTTCTAGTATAGGTGGATTACGATCTTTTCCTGATGTTTTGGCGTACTGCATGAGTAAATCAGCTGTGGATCAATTTACACGTTGCATTGCTTTAGAATTGGCGTCAAAACAAGTATAAAAATATTGTCCGATTTTTTGTTTTCAACAAATGACTTACTTTAAGTGCTATTACATTTCATATTATTTTTAAAATACACTAGGTGCGTGTAAATGCCGTAAATCCTGGCGTTATAATAACCCATCTCCATGAAAGAAGTGGAATGAATCAAGAGCAGCTTAAAAGTTACTTCGAATATGCCAAAAAGTTGCATGCGCTAGGACGAACGGGTGACGTTTCAGAAGTTGCAAAAGCTATCGCATTTCTAGCGAGCGACAATGCCAGTTTTATCACAGGTGCGACATTGCCTGTGGATGGAGGTAGACATGCCATGTGTCCTCGTTAAAAAAAGTCTAATGTTGCTTTTATAAATACGGTGTATTTTAATATATATGCAAACCATGTTATACAAATCCCATTTGTAAGTAATATATTAACGAAAATCAAGCTACATTGTAATATTTCTATTTTAAATTTTAAGAAAATTATATATATATATATAAATTGTTATATTTGTTATATTATTTCTATAACTGAAAATATTTCTTGTATTTAACAAAAAAAGGGGAAATAAAAATATTATTTGTATAATACATCCGAAATAGTTTAAATAATATTCATTATTGTAAAAAGCATAACTTTAATATTTTCAATTTTATAATGTACATTAAAAAAATAAAAAAATTATATGTTAACATAGACATTTTTTAAAAATCACGTATAATACAGAGAAAGGAAAAAAGATAAAATATATAGATAGAGAGGAAGAAAAAGGAGAGAGAGAGAAAATCAAGTTGAAAACTTTATGAGAATTAATTTGTTAGTATTTTTATGTTTATAAATATATTTTCACTATAAAATATTGAAAAATTTAATACAACTATACATTTTTTTAGTTCTTCTTGATGTAAATTAAATTTCAATTTTTATTTTGCCAAAAGATGGCAGTGTTAACAATTTATATTATAACAAAGATAATACGTCTATAATAGATAATAAGCTTAATACGTCATGTGTAACATAATATATACAGGAACACATAATATAAATTTTATATATACATATATATATATATAATAAGCGATATCTCTATAGTACAATTTATATCTGTATTACAACTTATTCACAGTAAGATGATAATTTACATTGAAGAATGATTACAAATATAGATTATTGATATTATAACTTATACATGGTAGATATTTATACAATAATAATTTTCTTTACAAGACTAATATTAATATTTTGCCATTTACGAATATCGCAGATAGGCTATTGCATTTTAGGTTAAATATATGTAAAGAATGATCAATTTCATATATAATATTTTTTATATTTGATTATATATATATTTATATGTGAATGAGAAATAATTATAACAAATATTTTCTTTTTAAATTCCTTTCAAAAAGATCGGTCTTTACATTACAACACTATAAAATAATTGTCTTAGTTTAATAGAAAACAAAGTCTTCGCTAGAGTAATATTATACTAAAAGTTCTAATATCTTTTTATTATATTTATCTTTAACAGTAATATATTTTAATCTTTTCTTATACATACAAAAAAATCTTATACATACAAAAATAGGAAACCACAAATGTCAGTATGAAATCTCTATAGGACACTTTTTTGCATTGCATTAATAATATAAAAAGAAATAGAAGTCTATTTCTACAGTCAAAGGTACAATACTCTATCACTGAAACTCTGTTGAGTCTTCTTATTCAATAATATAGCTTTAAAGTATTCAGTATATCAAGAACGATTATCACAATCCTTTTCTACTGGAATTATGCACATAGTTTAAATAAAACGTGTAAAAGATTTCTCTTGTATCTGTTTTGTATCTACAAATGTCTTGTATCTCTTATATCTCCAATGAGTTTATCCAAATAAGTAACATTAAGAATAAATATTTCAGCTTTTATTGGTAGGTACTCTAATATTACTGTTGTTTTTCGAATCTACTGCGCTCAATGCTATGCCTAATTGTGCTGCATAGTATGTCAACATAATAGATATCTACAAAATAAAAGTCAATATTAATATATTTTTTATTAAAATTAAAAAAGACATAATTTTTTTAAAATAAAAGTTATATTTTTTAAAAAAATAATGGTGACCTTGACACCATCGACTTTTATTTTTTGGTTATTCAATATCAAATCAATAGCATTCATCATATGTTTCTCTTTTAAAATCTTAAAACTTTTCTATGAAAAATTTTTTTATATATCAAGTTTAAAAAATATCTTATTTCCATTAAAATGGAATAAATTAATACTCTGTGTGCGCGCGTGTGTTTATATATACATATTACATATACAGTGACATAATTTAACTACTTTAAATTATTCGCTCACTATTTTGGATATATTTGAATATATTTTGTATCTAGATTTAGAAATTAGCCAGGTAAATGTTATATTTTTCACGCATAAAAATTTCATTCTTTTTACCAACACATTCCTGACCTGACAGATGGCCTGATTTTATTTATGATTACAAATTGGTGTCAATTTTTTATATAAAATCTTTTTAAAAAATGTTTTTTTTCTACAACGTGGGACGTGTAGTAAGTGTTACCTTTTTTAAGTGTTTATCTTTTTTAAAAATATGTATAACTTTATGTGTAACTTTTTAGAATTTTCTAATAAAAATAATGTTATTTTGTAAAACATGTCTTTTGCATTAACTAAGTGTTTCCCACGCACTGCGCGTACACATGATATCTTTTTTTATTTACATATTTTATTCACATATTTATTTTTACATATTAGTTACATATTATTAAAAATATTAAAAATATTTTAGTATTCACTGATTCTTGTGATCTTATATAATCTAATACTTTTTTATTTAGAATTCGATACTCTTTAAAATTCCAAGGTGATATGGATTTCCGTTTAAAAAAACTCTTATTTTTATATTTTGATAAAAAAGCAAGACAACAAAAAACAAATTATATTATGTAACCTTCTTGATAACATGCAAACAATTTTTGTTCGAAATAATATTTTACGAAACAAACAGTTACGAATAATTTAAAGTAGTTAAGTTTATTGTATACATACGTACATACATACCTGAGAATAAGGTAATGGACTATGGAAATAATGGAATCCGAGTAAAGTATCAGATATAACAAAACAGATACTACCAATGCAACTGCACAATTTAGTCCATGTCCACAATTCCTGTAATGAATAAAATATAATTAATTCCTGCATGAATAATACAAAAACTAATTAATAAAAGTTTAAATAAAAAAGTACTTATTAGAAAACTGAATATCACATAGATATATTAAAGAAAACAAAACAGAACCAACTAGATATAAAGGATATAAAATTAAATGTTGTTTTTATCATTTTCTCTCTCTCTATTTAGTATATAAATTTACCCCAAAAAATTGTACTCTTGATATGGCTCTCCATGCCATAGTGGTAAGTAATACTGTATAAATTGGCACTCCTATTGCTAAAATTCCGTTCAATCCAGGCATCAAAGCATATATAACTGGAAACAGCCATTAATTACTATAGATAATGATCAATAAAAATGAATATCTGATTAAGCAAAAAAAAAAAATTTGCAATATTCATGAATCTTACCAATTGAACAAGACATGTATAATACCGTTCCAAGTGTTAAATTGAGCGGCTTGAATCCAAATGCAAATATATACATAATTTGCGCAATAGCAAACATACACATTCCTGCAGTAAAACAATTAGGCCACACTAATAGTGCGTCACCTATGCAACTGAACACTAATCCCGTTAATATACGCCTGGAAAAGGCATATCTGTAAGAAGAAGGAATTTTATATTATGACATGACATTTTACAGTAAAAAAAATTACCAGGAAATAGAATGATGTTTTGCATCAATAACATTTTAAAACAAAAACATTACCAGGAAACAGAAATATCTGATTTAGCATTAATATCCGTATATGTAATGAACACCTTTATACTTACTCTTTAGACAAATTGATTCCATGTAATAGGACAAAAATAATGAGACTTATTATCGGCAAACATTTAAAACATGCCGTCAGTAGAGATGGCTGTTCAGCAAGTAATACAAAATATACCGATACACTCTTAAAAAACGGTACCAACTTCGGACCAATACTTTTTATCTAAAATATAAAAATATAGCCTTATTATATATTGGAAAACTTGTAACAAAACTGCAATAATAAAATAGGCATACACGATAATTTTATATAATAATAAAATTATAATAATTATAATAATTATAATAATAAAATAGGCATACACGATATAATTTTAACAGCTCATTTATTTTTTTCTACCAGATAACAGTATAATTATGTAATTATGCAAGACAAAAAGATTTTTCATTGGTAAGTTTATATTCATAATTCAATTTTAACCACGTTAAAATAACAATTTTAAGAATTTATTTTCAATAGCTTTCACAAGCGTTTATCTTAGGATTATCTTACTTATCTGTGTTTCTTCCTTTCATAAGTTCATAAAAAACAATAATAATAGATGTCAAAACAAAGATATATCTTAAAATAAACATGTTTAATTATCTTTAATTTATCATTCAATATTTCACAATTCAGTAATCGAACACTCAATAAAATCAATGAATAAACAAGTTTTCTGAGCAAGTTAAGTTAAATAAATCATATGTATGCCGGTAAGTTGATAAATAATTATTTCGTTATATAATCACATTATTAAAAGCTTATTTTGATTATTATAAAATTCTTTATATTTAATACAGAGTGTCTCATTTTAATGCAAAAGAAGAAGAAAATAGCCGTGTATCTAAAACTTAACATTGTACAACAAAATATATTGATCAAATAAAAATTTTAAGGATGTAAGTGACATTTTTATTTTGATTTTTAAACGGCTATCTAATATTAAGCCACTATCACACGGTCTTGGTAAATCTTAAACTATTATCTGATACGTTCCTTATACGACGTCAAGTTTAAGAGATATATATTCTATTTCCACAAAAATGATACACTCCATATTATTATTATTATTATCATTTATTTATTATTATTTATTTCTTAATTTCTAGAATAATAGGCAATATTTCTTAATTTCTAGAAAAAAATTGATGGTATATGTTTATTTATATATGTATAAAGTTGGTAAAATTATTTTTTAATTATGTTTTCTCTCTTTAACACGTGCTTTTAATATTTTAAACATGTTTTAAACATATAGTATAATATATACATACAATAAATGCATTGTATGATCTATAAATTTTAATCACATAATTTTTAGTTTTTTACATTGAATACAGTTCCCAATAAGAGATATACCACTGAAAAAAATTACTAAAATACGATTAAATTTTTGCAAAATGTTGAGAAAAATTTGATATAAATTGTTTTAAATTATTTTGTAGTAGGCGATGACATCATGTCCTTACTTGACCAATTTACTAGATTACCGTCTGACCTTATAGGTCAGAAATTAAATCAAAACTAAATAGAAGAATTGGAATATAATTTTTACATTATCTTGAAACAATGTCATTTATAAATAATTATGAATAATAGCAATATCAAGCAAAAGTTCAACATTCAATGATTATTTATTTTTAATTCAAAATATAAAAGCTATCAGTCCAGTATCATAGTGATATCATAGTGATAGCTCCGAAACAATACAAATAATGTTATGTTTAATTTATCTATGCAAATTCGTACATCTGCAAGTTGCATTCTCTGCAAGTATCGAAAGATTGTTTTCCACTTTTGGCTTAATATATAATAAAGTGCGTAATGGGACAAAACGTAAAAACTATCTATTATTATTAAAAGTTTAAAATCTGAATACTTTAGTATTCAAAATTAAGTTTTTCGAATTTAACAGGTATATCACAATATGTTTAAAAAAATTATATTTTTGATAAATATTAAGCTACTAAAATCAATTACAGTTCATTTTATAAAGAATTGTTTAAAATTTAATTAAAAATGTAAATACAGTTTAGATAAATAGATTAAACTGTTGATTTATTTTTACATGATATCCTACATTGTATTAATATTTTTTTCGTATTTTTGTCATAATTTTTGATAAAGCTGTAAACGACATTTATATAATATTTTTTTCTTATTTAGATCCATAGAACATATTGACAAAATTTGCCATTAAAATCTGGTATACTCTGTATATAAATGCGCGTAATTTTCAAGTTTTATTTATAGTCACAATTTTAGAAATAAGAAACAACTATTTTTGTCGTGTATTGAGACATGTGTTTCTAAAAGTTCCATAAAAAATAAAAATATATATTCTTCTATAATAAACTACTTTTTTAGAATCTAACGTCCGCGATATCGGATTCATTTTAAATTCTTATCTTTTGATCCCATTTTTACGTCAATAATCCCAATCTTTTAAAAATAACTAATATGTCTCAATTCTCAAAAATATCCGTACTTAAACGTCGTAGTAAAAGTAAAAACAAATATAAATATAAATGTTGATTTATTAATATCAAAACAATATTTATATAGATCTTATATAGATCTAAAATAAATCTAATATAAATAAATACTATTTATATTATTGTATAAAAATAATCTATTACTTGATTAAATACTAAAAAATTCGTTGATAGTAGATCTACATAACATAATGATATAATTTTTGTTTCTATTTTATTGTATTAAAAATAAATACTAATATTATTATTCACAAATCTAAAACTTTTCCGAAGTATGTTTTAAACATTTGTTTTAAATATAAATATTCAAAACAATCCTATTTGCAAATGAATTATCAAAATGTATTCATATGTATTCATATTTCAAATATTATGTACAAAATATTTCTTGCAAGCTACTCTTCAAATATTCTTAAATTTGATGATAGTGCATGTTTGAATGCGATTTATCCACAACGATTGAAGTGTAATCATTGTCCAACTAGTTATATGATAGTAGATACATTATTCAATATGGTACCATCAGAATATACAATGATCTTGACATGGAGCAGTCACTTTATGCCAATATGATAGTTTCTCTAATAGCACTCTATTGCAATAACAACTGTATTGAATTAAGGGGTTTTAAACAGGATACACGTAACGATACGGAAATTTATAGCTTTTTGCCATTCGGTTTATAATTTCTATGCACATTTTGTGATTCATCAACAATATCTTCCAACTTAATAATTGATAATTTGATTATCCGGTCGCATAAAAAAAATTTAATAGTATTTAAAAACATTAGAAAATCATTAAAAATATATAAATCATATACATACAAATATAAATTATTTTTGCAATAATTTTTGTACAATTTGTGTACAATAAATTTTAGTACATA